TTTATTAATAAAGCTGCTTCAAATGGAGATACAGGCAACTTTTTTTCCTTCTCCTTCCCCCTTCCCCCGGCCTTACATCATTCTTCTTTGCAGTTTTCACAGCTCAGGCTCTTAAAATCCTCATATTCACTTGCTGGCACATGTATGCAGGCACCAAATCTCTCCCACCATATGGTTCCAGTCCTGCAGATTGTCTCTCCCCCACTCTGCCTCTCCTCCCCCGGGGTTTCACAGCATCAGAGCTGTGCAGAACTTGTCAGAGCACACGTACAAAGTACAACGTGCAGCACCAGGCTCCTCAATGACGCTGCCACGGGACTCACTTCAACCAAAATCAAGCTCAGCAAGCCCCGAGAGCTTGAATCCCTCTGCAGCTCCCCAGAGTCAGGCGTTTCTGCTGAACTGGACAGGTCCTGAGCTTTCTGCAGGAGCTCCTCCAAATTTCTAGGCATGAGGCAGAATGTGAAAAAAATGAAGATTTTATGATTGGCTTTTCGCAAATGTTACACTGAATATTAGATGTGTAATGTTAGAAAGTTGTGCTGTATTAATTCTTTTAAGTAGTGTGTTAAATGTAGTTTTAGGTTCCAACATAATGTTAAAATAGAGACTATGGATGTGGGGGAGTTTTCTTTTTAGGAATGAGATACTCGCTTTGAGGAACACCTAAATCTTCCAAAGGAAAGGAATTTATGGAATTTATGGTTTTCTTATCAGAAGAAGCTAATTTCTTCAGGCCTTGCTCAGACTCAAAGACGCCATAGGGATTAAAGGAAACAGTTGACACACAACAGACAGAGTTTCTTGTTTTAAATAGAATGTATGCATAACCATGAAAGATAAATGAATATGCAACAAGTGTATTGTTTTCAGGGTGATTCCTTTGTTCACAAGACATTCTTTCTGTGACTTAGTGTCTGAGAGCATCTGGACATCTGTAATTCTTTGCTTTTTATTGGCTTGTAACTGTCCTAATGCAAAACTTTATTACTCTAATTGTATTATTATTTTAATAACAATTTTATTATTATTAAACTTTTAAGTGATTGGCGTTTTTCACTCAGAAGTTTTCCCATCTAAAATGAGGGTGTGCAGCCAGCACTGGTGGACAAAACTGCTGGATTTTCCCAGTTCAGCCTTGCACCTGGCCATCGTGTAACTGGGAAGTCTTGACTCAAATAAACACAGGAAGGCTTCACATCTTCCTCATTTCAGGTGAAAGTTTAATACTGCCAGAAAATCACTAATCAAAGCAAAGCAGGCAATCCAGAAAAATAAGAACTATTTTTTTTTTTTTTGCTGAGTTTTTTAATCAGTTCAGAAATATTTGAGCACTGCTGACACCACTTCAGCATTTCCTAGGAACAAAGAGCTGGCTGCAAAGTTGGGCAGGCTCAGCTCCTCCCTGTCAGAAGCTGAAGGCTGAATTACTACAAATCCCTGCAGGGGCTGGCCAGGAGTGCCTGATGCTGGAGGACACCCCTGACAGCACATTCCTTCCTCCTGATGTGATGGAGATGTTTTGGGCCACTCAGGCCCATCAAGCACAGAAACCTGAGCCACACAGATCCGATTTCTGTCCTCAACCAGGGTCACAATTCCAGTGCTGTAGTCCCAGCAGTCACATCTTCCATCAGATTTTAGCAGTGGATACAGGAAGGGGGAGCTCAGCCTGGCCAGGGAGTGCAACCCAAAAAGTGAGTCTGGAAGCAGCACACACCACTGAGCCTCCACAGAGCCCCAGCTGCCTCGTCCCTTGTACAGCTCCTCGTGCTCACCAGGGCCACAAACCCCTCCAGTTCAAAGCTCTGCTCCTGTTTGGGTTTTAATTGGTATTTTTAACTGAGCCAGCCCAACCTAAAGAGAAAGCTCAGGCGTGTTCGCATCACCCCCACCCCAAAAATGGAATGTCCAGAGCAGGCTTTCCATCAGGGAAAAATCTCCATGATGCACTCCTCCTCAGGAAGATCACACCTGTACCACAGAACGAGGCACTGTCTGAAAATCAGGAGCACAAAAATGACTTTTTAGACAGAGGGAAGCCACCAAGCAACAGCCCTGCTTCGTGCACAGATATAAATCCCTTAATCAGCTGAGAGCTGGCTGCAAAAGCACGGAGTGTCCCCCTCCCCACGCTCAGGTGCTGGTGGTCCCTGGCAGAATCCCTCCTCCCAAGGCAAAGCTGATTTTCTCCTGGCTGGAAGAACTCTGGCAGGTTGTGCTCCTGCCCTGTCAGCAGTTCTGCAGCACTCCTGTGTGTCACTGCTAATGACACACCAGCCCCACACCACCGGCTCAGGGAATGCTTTTCCTCCCTGCAAGGATGGAAAGAGTGGGGAAGAATGAGCTTTCTGCTGAATATATTTGGCTGTGCAGAAGGCACATGTGATACAAATGTTGCTATGGAAACTATTCTATTAAATAATATTCAATTAAACTCACACGTTTGAAGCACGCAGAAAGAGTTCAGGTGCAAAACTAATTAGCCTTAATTCAATTTTTGGCATTACAAAGTAGGGCCTTCCAGAACTGTCACGTTCCTTTTAGAAGAGGTTTGGATTGGAGCAAGCTGCTTCTCTGCACCCCTTCCATCCCAAACGTGGCACCCCACCCCAGCTCCTCAGCAAAGTCATTCCTGGAGGCAATTTTTGGCTCCCAGTTCCCTTGGAGATGGAATTGCCACAGCGTTGTGGAGGCAAAGGCAGGAGCTGAGCTGCATTCAGCCTGGAGAGACAAAGCTCTGATTACAGCTGTGCCACCAGAGCAGGGAATGGATTTCAGCGACTCCCACTCACATCCTGCCACACGAGATCCCTCTCCATCAACCAGCAATCCTGCAGGGGCTGCACAGCCTCGTCCTTCCTGATTGCACAGCGTGGGGAAGCTGGCTGGTAAAAAGTCACTCTTTTATTCTCTGAAGTATTTTTTTCCCTTCCCAGCTCCTGGGTGCCCTCCCAGCACAAAAACAACCTGTCGGCGTAAATCCTTCACCCCCTGAAGGAGCCATAATAATATATGTTATTATTAGTTATTATTATTAGTTATTAGCTTAGTTATTATTATTAGATTCAGTCTCACTCAGCAGCCACTGAGGGAGACTGAATCCAGGCTCTTGCTGAAGCCAGGAGCTCAGCCAGCTCCAGGTGTCCCATCACACCTGGAGGAACCAAGGAGCAGGGACACGCTCCAGCCCTGCCTGTAGGGACCCCAGACTGATCAAAATTACCCATTTCTGCACATCAGAGCTGTGAGCGGCTCACAGAAAATGCTCCAGGAAGAATCTGCAGCCACATCTGCTCTCGAGTCGTGCGCCAACATTTCCCAAGCTGGAAACTAAGCAGCCCTGAATTATAACCTGCTCTGGGTATGCGCTGTAAAAATCTCCAACAAGCCAGCAAACCTACACTTTGCAGGCTGTAGGTGCATAAAAAAGAGGAAGAATATTTCACATAATGCTCTTTCTAACGATACCACATCCAACTCATCAGTTTTGCAGGGAGAGCAGTCTGGAGACTCAAGTCTTGCTTTTAATGTCTTTTAGGTCGATTTAAGAGGCACCTCCCAGTGTGCTCTGAGTAGAGGAGAGAGAAAAATTGCTCTTTTACAGCTGTCACATGCACATCTCCTAAGAGGGCATCCAGCACTTCCTCAGCAGCAGCACCCTCAGAGTGGTCTGGAAAGCCTTAATAAAGGAAAGGCACCAGCACTGACAGCATTTACAGCTTTTGTGGGCTTAGATAAACCCTGGTCACATCTTCACTGAGCTGCACTGTTACAGCACAGAAAAACGTGTCACAGTTTAATTGTACTCATCCTTTATGCCAGAGCAAACTGAACGCTGGTATGTATTCAGTGATGAGACTGAATCAGGACACACCAGTTGTGCCCAATTTACCAGGAGTGCTCTCCAAATGGCATTCCCCCAAAATGCCACAGAATCGCACGGTTGTACAGAATGAACTGTGCCTGCGAGTGCAGGGATGAGAAATCCAGCCTGATGGAACACTTCTCAACCTCTCCTGTTTCCACACCAGCCCGGGAGACGCAAGCTCCCAAAACTGTGGAGCAGTCATTGCCCATGGGTGCAGCAAGAGAAGGGAACTGTAACTGCAGGGAGGCAGCAAAAGCTTTCCAAAAGCTTTCAGAGCACCACAGACAAACAAATTCTGAGCTGCCGACCCAATAGTTTTTAATAAACACAAGAAATCAGTTCCTTTCCGGTCCTGAGAGGCTGATGGAACAACTGAAATGTTTCCTATACACAAAGCCTCCCTCCTGAGCCAGAATCCCTTCGGGACACGGAGGGAGCCCCTCTCTGTGTCCCATCCCCTGCCCTGGAGGAGCAGCCCTGGAATTTCAGAGCTCATTCCAGCCCTGCCACTCCCGGCACATCCAGCGCCCACAGCCGGAACCGGGAACCGCCAGGGCAGCAGAACAACCTGAACATACCTTCAATATTCAACCAGCAGCTAAAGGGGGCTGCGTGAATTTTCATTTCGCGCACCTCTAACAGCACCGAAGACACCGCAGAGCTTCACCTGTCCCACGCAGGAGCCCAAAACCTGAGCGGCAGCAGGAACCGGAGCACCTGAGCGGCTCCAGAAGCTCAGCCCTGCCCGGAGCTCCCCCATCCCCATCCCCATCCCCATCCCCATCCCCATCCCCATCCCCATCCCCGGGTCCCCCCGCAGCGGCGCCCGGAGCTCGGGGCACGGACAGCGGGAGGAGGCGGCGCAGCATCCCCGGCTCCCGACGGGAGAGAGAGGCGAAAAGGAATATATCCATCCACACCTATGCATAACATATATTCATGTGCCTTCATTCCTCTCTCCTCGTCTTTTTGTTTCCTGCGGAAAAACCCACACAGCTCAGTTTGCAAAAAGAGGACAAAGGAGTGGCGGGGGGGGTGGGAAAAATAAATAGCAAAAAAGATATAAATAGCAAAAAAAGACATAAACAGCAAGAAGCGCAGCCCTGGGCAGGCTCCCCCGGGCACTCACCCCCAGCCGCCGGCTCCGGATGCGCACGTAGCCCTGCTTCACGATCTCGTTGAAATTGGACGCCATCCTCGCCCGGGACAGGCGGCGGCGGCGCCGCTCAGCCCGCCCGCATGGCCGGGCAGCGCCCGCAGCCGCGGCTCCGCCCGGAGGGACGGGCAGCACCGGGAGGGACGGACAGACAGACAGCACCGCCCCGGGAGGGACAGACAGCACCGGGAGGGACAGACAGCACCGGGAGGGACAGACAGACAGCACCGGGAGGGACGGACAGACAGCACCGCCCCGGGAGGGACGGACAGCACCGGGAGGGACGGACAGACGGCACCGGGAGGGACAGACAGCACCGGGAGGGACAGACAGACAGCACCAGGAGGGACGGACAGACAGCACCGCCCCGGGAGGGACAGACAGACAGCACCGGGAGGGACAGACAGCACCGGGAGGGACGGACAGACAGCACCGCCCCAGGACCGACAGCACCGCCCCGGGAGGGACAGACAGACAGCACCGCCCCGGGAGGGACAGACAGCACCGCCCCAGGACCGACAGCACCGCCCTGGGAGGGACGGACAGACAGCACCGCCCCGGGAGGGACAGACAGCACCGCCCCAGGACCGACAGCACCGCCCCGGGAGGGACGGACAGACAGCACCGCCCTGGAAAGGACAGACAGCACCGCCCCGGGAGGGACAGACAGACAGCACCGGGAGGGACAGACAGACAGCACCGCCCGGGAGGGACAGACAAACAGCTCCGCCCTGGAAAGGACGGACAGACAGCACCGCCCCGGCAGGGACCGCACCTCCCCCCGCACCGCCCCTCCGAACAACCCGCACCGCCCCGGGAGGGACCGCGCTGCCCCGGAGCGCTCCGCATCCCCGTCTCTGGCGGTCCGCAGAGCTCCTGGGGCGATCCGCACCGCCCCCGAGTGTCCCGCATCTCTCCGCATCTCTCCGCATCTCTGCGCCCGTCCCGCACCAAGCCCCGAGCGCCCCGGGCCGGGCATGGAGCCGTCTCAGCTCCCGGCCGCGCTCCCTGTGCGACCCCCGCCGCTCCATGCCGCATCCTCGCCCGCAGCCCGCAGCCCGCAGCCCGCATCCCGCAGCCCGCAGCCCGCAGCCCGCAGCCCGCAGCCCGCAGCCCGCAGCCCGCAGCCCGCAGCCCGGCCGAGCGCACCCTGAGCGGCCCCTCCGCGCCGGGCCGCCTGCCTCGCACCTGCGGCTCCTCCCCTGCAAAGCGGCTTTCCCAGAAAGACACTTGGATGCCTGGAATTCAGGCGGGATTCTCCGGCATCTCCTCCCAAGGACGAGGGACGGCTAACCCGAGCTGCTGCCCCGTGCCTCACGCCGGGGAAATGTCCCGGGAGCCTGAGCTGTGTTTTTTACGGGCAATTTGACCTTACTCCGGTCGCAGCAAGGACAGACCTTGCCTGGCTCCGGGCCCTGGGGTTGCCTTCTGTGGCTGCAAGTTCTCCTTGTCCCAGAATGTGCAAACAGTGCCAAGCACTCCGGAGATGCAGCAGAGAGGGGCTCTGGTGGCTCCTCACGGGTTACCTGCCAGTGGCACGCTATAAATACCATGTCCTGGAAAAGGGACTGCTCAGCTCTGCGAAACAGCTTTTAATAGAGCCACCAGTACAGCCCAAGGAGGTCAGCCAGACACGGGGCTTTGACTTTGGGAATTATCCTGAGCTGGAAATCACAAATGGGACAGCAAAGATGGCAGAGCAGGGACACACCATGGAGCACACCAGGGAGAGCAGCCCCAGCTGGGCTGAGCTCAGGGCTGGGGGGAAATGCTGCCTGTATTTATTTAGATCACAGAATCAAAGAATCATTTAGGTGGGGAAATGTTGTGGAGGCTGAATCCACTTCTGACAGAAGTGGCCCCTGTCTGGTTTGGATGTGTGGCTCCATCATTTCGGGCAGCCAGGAGTGATGTGGTGGCAGCGTGGAGATCACAGCTCTTGCTTGAAGAGGTGCTTGTGCTTTGTGAGGCTTTGCGAAATATTAATTGATGGAGTGGATTTCGGAGGGCTCTCCAGCTGAAGGACTGATTCACTGAGGGTAGAGGAGGCAAGTCTGCGCTCCTCACTTTGGGATTTTACACTTTTCACAGAGCTTTCTTTACAGAATGCATTAAATGGAACAGCTTCAGCCAGAAACAGCAGAACCTTCCACCCCCATGCACCAAACCACGCCAGAAATTAGAGGAATATTCTGAGGTAAATCTGGCATATGACCTTGAGGTCACCAGATCAGAGGGATGGAGCATCTCTCCTATAAGGAAAGGCTGGAAGAGCTGGGATTGTTCACCTGGCCAGGAGAAGCTTTGGGGTGAGCTCATGGTGGCCTCCAGAGCCTGAAGGGGCTGCAGGAAAGATGGAGAGAGAGTTTAGACAAAGGATGGAGGGACAGGACACAGGGAATGGCTTCAAACTGCCAGAGAGGAGGTTTGGGTTGGATATTGAGGAGGAATTGTTCCCTGTGAGGGTGGGCAGCCCCTGGCACAGGTGCCCAGAGCAGCTGGGCTGCCCCTGGATCCCTGGCAGTGCCCAGGCCAGGCTGGAGCAGCCTGGGACAGTGGGAGGGATGGAGCAGGATGAGCTTTAGGATCCCTCCAGCCCAAACCATCCCATGAAATCCCCACACAGCAGCTGCACGTGGCAAAGCCCAGGCTGCAGAATCACCGAGAAATGCCCTTTTGTTCAGCACTAATGCCGGAAACATCAAGTGACTTCTAAAGCCAGGATTAAAAAATAACAATAATAAACAAACCCAGAGAGGCTTGGCTGGGTTTCAAAGACATTTGGAGCAGGGAAGAAGTGACAGAGCCTCTTTAGTTGGCTTTTCAACAAGTTTAGATGTTTCTCCTAATCCCTGGCAGGACCTGTAAACACTCACTGCTGGTTTCATCAGTCACTGGCAAATTCCTGCAGGTAAACACATTCCTGAGAGCTTGGCTAAGTCAAGGTGGATTTAAGCCTGTGCTTATTCTTTGATGAATTAGGATATTAGAGGCCACTTACATCTTCCCTTTGAACAGCATAAATCCCTTACATACGCCATGGTTCAAAGAGAAAATGCACTTTAATTCCCATGTGGGCAATACATTCCAAGAATGTGCCAGAAAATCTCATTGTTCAGGTTTTCCCCTCTGCGCTATCTCCAGAAAAAAACTTGTTTCCCACTTTTTAATATGTAAAAGTGGGCCCTGGTTGGTTTGACAGGAATCCTTTCCTTTGCCTGGGCTCTGCTGACCATTAGCCCTCACCACAAGGAAATGCAGCACTAAATTTATCTTCATCCACATTCCAAACTGTCAAAAACCTCTTTAATAAGCTGAAATTCTTTTCCTTTTAATGCCAATATTTTTGCTATTATTTCTGGGGAAGGTAAGAGCCAAGGGTCACTTTGAAGCACCAGCCTGTTGTTAATAATTTAAGTGGATTACTGATATATTTTAATCTCATCAAAACTCATATTGTGCTGCCCTGTGATGAGCTCGTTGCTTTTAGCCCCCTGCAACCACAAATCACAAATTTTAACTCAGTTTTCCCCAAAATGCCATCCTGACATTTGAAAAGGAAGTTCCATTTCTCTTATTTATCTGCAGCCTCACCCCTGGAATGGTGTTTGAGCACTGCTGTTCCAGGCCTTGTCCCTGATTAAAGGACATTTCAGCCCAGACCACCCCAGTAATCCCAGAAAACATTTTGCAGTGCATTCACCGACATTTTTCGCTTGTACCTTCATTTCTAGAAGAAAGGCAGAAAACCCTTTTTCTATATAATTCTGTTGATTTTACTTTCCTGGCTCTTTTTGTGGTTAAAGCAGGATAAAAACCTGCTCTGGGCTCAGTCTGAACCCCAGCAGAAGCACCACAATAAACTTCTCTCACATGGGCACTTTTTACCCTAAAATTCCCAACCTAATCCAGAAGGAAGATTATCCTTTCACTCAACAAGTGCCAGTGCAGAAGATAAGCAATTGTGCCAGCAGATTAGAAAGACTCCAAAATCTCCTTGTAAAATAAACTATTAAAGGCTTTGATGTGTCCTTATCTGGCAGGGAGAGATTTCCCAAACATTCCAGAACAGAAACAATTGCACTGCAGGACTGGAAGGCAAAGCAATAAACCAATAAACTCTGGGTGCACTTTTGGAGCTGAGTCAGTAAAAAAAAAAAAAAAAAAAAAAAAAANNNAAAAAGCAGCCCAGGCTTTAAGTACAAACCACACATTAAAAATAAATAAATAAATAAAATATACCTTGCACATATGGAAAATAAATAGCTCCTCGTAGCCTGATGCAAAGGATTCATTGAGTTGGGAAATATTTTTACTGATAAATATAGGAAAGGGGGGAAAAGACCTTCTAGCAGTTCAATAATATAATTTAACAGAAAAAAATTAACATATACACACATATGTTATATATATATAAATAACGTAATTTATACAAAAAGTGTAAATTAAATCAGCCTACGTAGTGAACTCTGCAGTATTTTCAAGGATATTTGGGAAAAAAAAGTTGCTCAAAACTTATGAACCAGAAGCCAAAATCCAGTTTGTGAAGCTAAAAGGCAGGCTCTGAAAATATAAAAAAGATCAAAAGGTTTATTTAAAAATCTGCTTCACTGAAAGTGAGTAGCTGCAAACGGCCACGCTGGCAGAGCATTTCATTCAGAGGAGGTTTCAGATGGTTAATGGTAATTATAAAATATGTGACAAATTAACTCAAAGCAAGTGAAAATAAACGTGACAGATAAAAGCAAATATTACAGCTCTGCTGACAACTCCTCAGTCTTTCAGTGACAAGAATGTTAGAATTGGTCAGAAAGTGCTTGAAAAAAGAAAAAAAAAGGAAGATAAAAGCAGTCATTTGGAAGATGAAGCTACTGCAGTTGCAATGGAACCATCCAGTTTGATGTCCCCAGGCATTGTGGGGCTGATCAATCTTCAAGGCTTTGGGGAAAATTAAGAATTTTTTAAAAACCAACCCAACAACTCTGTCAAAAAATAGTATTTGTGATTCACATTCCTCCCTGTAAGTCTGCTTCACTGTCACAGTCAGGGTTGGGAAGAGCCTTCAGCATCTCCAAAATTCCAGACCAACAGGAGCTGAAGTGACACCTAAACCCCACTGGTTTTCCTTTCTGCAGCCAC